TTGAAAGTATATTTGTACGTTGTTGTTCTTTACGTAATGAACATATACAACCAAGTGTAATAAGTAAACGAAAATCTAATGGTAAATTCATTTCATAAACACCTTCAATATTTGGATTACTTAAATCAGTCATTATATCTGTATAATAATCACGAAAATGATTTTCATCCAAACGATATTCATATAAATAATATATTTGTGAACAACGTGGTAATAAACGATTAACACGTTTTGAACAATTATTAATTGTATGTTCATAACCAATTGAATGTTGTGCTTGGATATTATTATTTTCAATTGATGTACGATAATTAACATAAACTATTCTTGGAACTTTTATTTTAATTTGTATTAATTCATGTTCAACTAAACACCAAGCTTTAAATATACCTATTTGATCAGTTAATTCATATGATATTATTTGCCATGGATGTGTATGTAAATGTTCAGCTGTACGACGAATATATGTATAAATTTTACCATCATTTAAATTTTTTTGTTTTGTTTTCAATTGAATTTTATCAGATATTATTGATGATTGATTTAGTCATTGTTCATATTGTATATTCCATTTATGTTTTTGATAATTAAGCCATTTAATATGTTGATTTATTGTTTGACCAAATACTGGTGGTGGACCAAGAACAATTCTCCATTGACGTGTTATTGTTTTATCATTTAATTCATTACGTTTACGTTTTAATGTTGTAGTTTTTTTAAACACGTAGTACTGGATTACGAATATTTTGTAATGCAGCTGGAATAGTTATTATTTTTTGTATACAACTATTAAAACGATCAATATAATAATTCCAATCAAGAATTTCACGTATATCAAGATTATCAACAGTTGATAAATGTAATCATTTACGTAAATAATGATTACGTATAGATTGTTCAGATTGAAATATAGCTAATGGAATAGCACGTTCAGTAACAGGTGTATCACGTGGTACATTAGCTATAACAAAACGACAACAAAGACCTTTATCTTTAATAACATCTTCACCAAGAAATTCAGCAAGTCTAAAACAAAAAAGGAAAAACAAAAAGACATTCGATGAATTATTCAGATTTATATAATTAATAATATTCATTCAATTTGGTGCAGCAAAAATGTATTTTATTTACAAGAAAATTATCAGAGATGAAATTTAACATTTGCTATCAGATCCCAGTCATTACGTAGAGTCCGTTGAGACTAGAAGAAACTTACAATGATTCTTCTCTATGCATTGCCTTTTTGAAATTATGGCCGTTATACTGAGTTTTTACCTTTGTTATGGTATTTATTAAAAAAAACTGGATAAACAAATTTTAATCTAAAAGTTTGCCTATAGACAATTCTTGAAGTCATTAGAATCTGCTAAAAATTT